GTTTTCATTTTCAGTCCTTTCTTGACTAATTCTTTGTCTTTTTCTGTCAAATTTTGCCTTTGGTCTTTGGCTTTCCAGTGATTGCACTTGGATCTTAAGTATCCACACTTTGGTTTCCTCCTGTGTTCTCTGGCTTGCTGGTGTCTCTGCCTCTCTGAGGTTGTTCTGCAAGGAACTTCTGCTTACATTCTTGCCCAGTGAAGTGCAAACCTCACTATATCCAGGAACTATATCAACATCTAGGCTGAACCAGTTCCAGGCAACCCCTGAAAAAGTAGTTCAAATGTATTGCTAAAAGATTATGCAATCTCTTAAAAATACAGATTGAATCCTTCTATCCTTCTCAGTAAAATTATGCAGTGGTTCCCTGTAACTTATAGAAGTTCAATTTTTTTGCCCTCAAAGCCCAGTTTGGGTTTTTAAGACACCAAGCCATAGGAATGGCAGGCCTAATTAAACAGTTATATGCATTTTCCCCACACTTCTTAGATTGCATAGTAATAAAATATAACACTATTTTAATCTGCTTTGGAATTTCTCAGAGAAATAGAGTGATAATAATATATAAATTATAAGTTGGGTGTCTTTTGGGGGAAAGGAGTGAAGAACAGAATTAAGTAAATGCTTATTAATACTAAGTATATATCAGTATTGAATTATCCAGCCATTTGAAAGATCAGTACTTTATATATCTTAAACAAACTGATTTAAAATCTTGAATTATACATATCTAGATTGCATCTAGTGTTTAATCAATTGGACGCTTACGAATAATGGATAAATGATTTGTTGTCATACAGAATTGAGCTCTGCTTTTCATGCAGTGAGAATAACACTTTTCATTTTTACACTTATGCAATTGATTGTAAACTTTGGGATAATATAATTTAAATGGAGCTAAACAGTCCATTAGCTATGTCAGTGCCTCCTCTCTTGCCAAGCTGTAGTTTTATGCTAAGCTGTTGTGTACTGTGTTACATAATCCCCTGCATTCATTTTCTCCACCTGTTTAGCTTGAATATATACAAGGTGACTGCATTGTCTCTTCAACCTCCTTCTCAGTATAAACACCAAGTATAAACAGATTTTGGGTGCTATTTTGTTTTTTCTAATGGAGGATTCAAAGGATTGAATAAGGTTAGAAATGCATGTTTGTCACTATTTGGTTTTGCCCGTTTTAGTTACCCTTACTGTCAACTTAGTGTGATTTTCAAGGTGATAAGAGAGTGGTTGAGTCTCAGCTACTAGAAGGAAATTAAGATAGACTGGGGGTCTTACAAGAAAAATCATGTCAGTTGTGCAAGTGTACAAAACAGTGATTTCTTCAAGGTCCTCATTTTTTTCTCCTTCTCCTTTTTAGCCCTTGATATGCTCTTTTAGAGACTGGGTTATTGGGAGGCGAAGGTTGCAGTGAGCTGAGATCGCGCCACTGCACTCCAGCCTGGGTGACAGAGAGAGACTCCATCTCAAGAAAAAAGGCTGGGTTATGCATTTCTAGTGCCTCTTACAACATAACGTGTAGGGGAAAATTATTCTATCACTTGAAAATGATATAAATTTGCTTATGTAGGATACGACTTAGAGAGAATATGTCAGTTGTCTATTGTTCGTTGACCAGTGGAGGAGATATCCCGACAGGGTAATGCTGATCTTGGTAGCCTCCTCTGACTCAGGGAAGAGGTAAACTGAGAAAATTCTTCGTTGGATGAAAAGATTGGGAAGGTTGTGAATGGTTACAGCAATTTCTGTTAAATATTTGCAAAGGAAGGCACTTCGCCACATAAAATCTTCATCGGTGTATTTGCATGGAGATTAGCATAAATATGCATGTGATTTGCATAGGCCTTTTCTTCCTCACATTGGTTTTAGTTCTTATTTATTTATGGTGATATTCTCTTCTCTACACTGATGCCATTTTTTCCCTCTATGGCCTCCCACATAAAAGAAGTGTTTTTGCTTTAAATACAGATCTAGGGAAACATTTCTTTTGGTGAATGAGTGATTCATGTAAGGTGAGAGGAATTGGTTTCTGGCTCAGTTTATTCAAAGTTTGGGATGGTTTGTCAGTCAATGTACCGTTCCTTGGAATCATTTGTGGCCTTTGACAAGACAAGTAGGAGCATCTGGAATGTCCAGAGTGATGGGCAAAGGGAAGATAATGAATGTTTAGACTAAGAAAAGCCCAGACATGCCCCAAGCCCAGAGTACCACAAACTAACTGTGTTGTCTTGGGCAACTCACTTATTTCTAGTCATCAATTTCTTCCATAATAAAATAAGGACATTAAATCAGGCCATCTCTAAAGTCCCTTATAGCTCTAAAATTTATTATTTTGACAGACTCCTTGCTCTAATTATATAAAAAATATTAAGCACCATGTAGCACATTAAATAATATCTGGTGCCTTGCTGTTCTGTGTCAAACTTTTCCCCTTTGAAGGGTACTGGATGATTAATTTAAGCTTCTCTTTATAGGCACTACTTTCCTTGCTCATTTATCTCAGTTCAGTGGGCACACAAGGTATAACTTAAATGTTTATAGAAGACACCCATTAATATACCACTTGTGGTGCCAAGGACGTGCACAGTAGTTGGCTCTGTGGACATCCCTGTCTGTAGAAAAAGAGCTTAGTTGTGATAACGCCGTTTGATTTGTCACCTTCTACTCTAGATCAGGGTCACCTCCAGGTCTCCTGAACAGGGGCTTATCCAATTGCATTTTAACAAAGATGTTTCTTCAGAAATGAGGGGAGAGATCATGACAATAGACAGAACACTAGGGGATTGGATAGATCTACTTCAAACATGCAGACAGTGTTGAATCTCTGCTTTATTATTTTGGGGGGGGGCTATTTCTGCTAAAATCCAGCATACGTTATGTGCTCACTACTTATACATGTGCAAGCTACCCTGTGAGCATTTATAGGTGAACAGGTCTCTTTTGCTTATACCAGTGTGTGTGCAAGCAGACATATGCAGGTAGACACATATGACTGGGCTGCCCTGAAACACACAAGAGAAATTTGATCTCTTCTTTAATTCCCTGGAGTATGAAGCTGAGGTTGATGTTTTAATGATCTCATAATGCTAAGATTAATTTAACAATATGTAGTGGCTAGTAGTCTCTTCACATTATAAAAGTGTCTCCTTTTTACAGCTCTTACTTTATGATGAGAAAATATTTATTTTGCCTAAGAAGTTTACCTGGGGCTGTGATGGTTGATACAGATCTGAGCTGAAGCGGACTTGGCTTTGGTTAATAAGCCTGGATTGTAGTTCCGGCAGGGAAAATAGAATTCTTTCAACCTTATTTTGTAGCCTCCAATCTTTAGAGGGAAACTGTATATCTCAACTATTGTTGCCATTTTCTTTTGGTAATGAGGTGCGTTTGATAGCTTTTGACCAACTCTGGTATGAGTTAGACCATTCTAAGTAAGGCTATCTGGCAAGAAGACAAATGGAATTTCATAACACTGTGTGTCAAAATTATAAATTGAAAAAACAAATAATTAAAGAAAATATATTTCATCCTCTTACCTTGACAAATATACCTTTATAACTACTTGGAAAGCCAGGTTCAAATTTAGAATTTTTGGATTCCTTGGAGTTCTGCATTGGGAAATAGCAGCACAGGGGGAACCAGCCAACCCCTAGTCCTCAGCCTATGGTCTGCTCCCTTCTCTTTCCACCTTTGGCTTTGTCCTATATCATGCCCCAGCCTAATGGACAAGCCCTATCCACATTTCTGCAAGTAGTCCCCCATGGCTGCTCCTCAGACCTTGCAAGATGTATGGTTTGCCTTTAGAAAGATGGATCCAGGGCTGGGCGTGGTGGCTCATGCCAATAATCCCAACACTTTGGGAGGCCAAGGTGGGCAAGTCACAAGGTCCAGAGATCGAGACCATCCTGGTCAACATGGTGAAACCCTGTCTATACTAAAAATACAAAAATTAGCCAGGCGTGATGTTGCACGCCTGTAGTCCCAGCTACTTGGGAGGCTGAGGCAGGAGAATCGCTTGAACCCGGGAGGCGGATGTTGCAGTGAGGTGAGATCACACCACTGCAATCCAGCCTGGTGACAGAGCAAGACTCACAAAGAAAAGAAAAAGAAGGAAAAAGAAAGATGGATCCAGGGAAGAGGCCTGCACAAGCCCTGAAAAACAGGCTTAAGGTTTTATGGCTGGGCAATGACAGGGTCCCAGTCTATGAGATATTGTCTTGAAAGAGAATATGGGCTCCAGTAGAATGCGATCTTGGCCCCGTGGAACCCTAGTTCTGTGGTCATAGGATAGTCCAACCAGGGTCATCTAAAACAGGATACCCTAGAGCAGAGAGTCTTGAGTTTAACAGTGGTATTGCTGTCTTATCAAAACATATCAAATTCATTCTCTTCCCTTCTCCTTACCTGCTATATCACCTGCTCAGGTCTAACCCCCTGCTTAACAACCCAGCCATGTTCCATGGGGCTTGGGACTGTACTATAGAAACCAAAGTTAGCTGAGTTATTGATGGATGAAAATCAGAGCCAGATCTTTCAGGGTAATTGATTTTTTAGTTATTGGTCAATAAAAGCTACCTGAAGCTAAAGAGTCCTTTGTCAGAACAGTTAATTATCCATTCTAAACCAGCTCTTCTACAAGCATTTAAAAGCAATTCCTGAAGCAAAAGCAACTTGAGCCTCACTTGATCATTTTGCATGAAACGTCCCTTTAGGTTTTTCTTTGAGAAAATGTGAAGGAAAGGCAGCAAGCTCTTTTGCACCATCTTGTTTGTCTTCTACCCTCGTGTGGACACGTCGTTTCTGTGCAGTCACCCCTGTTGCTGGTTTCCCGGGTGTTTCGACATATGACTTGCAGAAGAATGGAAGGGAGTGCTGTGTTGGTATTAGCACAAGAACAGGGGCAGTACCCCTGCAGTGTGTTCTCTTTGGTATTTGCATAGATCTGACTCTTGCCAGACAAGTGTTGACTGCTTTCCTCTTTTCTTTTCCTATAGCTCGAGAGGAGAATGTGGCCACTTTCCGAGGCTCAGAGTATCTGTGCTACGACCTGTCTCAGAACCCGATCCAGAGCAGCAGTGATGAAATCACCCTCTCCTTTAAGACCTGGCAGCGTAACGGCCTCATCCTGCACACGGGCAAGTCGGCTGACTATGTCAACCTGGCTCTGAAGGATGGTGCGGTCTCCTTGGTCATTAACTTGGGGTCCGGGGCCTTTGAGGCCATTGTGGAGCCAGTGAATGGAAAATTCAATGACAACGCCTGGCATGATGTCAAAGTGACACGCAACCTCCGGCAGGTAATGGCTGAGGGGAGAGAATGCCTGGAAGGCTCATCCTAGGTGGCTGGGTAGTAAGTTTGTGAAGCAGGTGACGGGTGTGAGGTGGAGGGGGTGGAGATTCAGGGATAGAGATGTTAAAGTCTAGCTTTCTCCCAGTCTTCGCAATTTCACATGGAAAATTATTAAAATATGTTTCTCCGCATACTTCAATTCTCCCTCTGTGCTTGTTATTTAAGAAAAAAAAAAACTCAGTTGTATAGATAATAAAAGTTGTAAGTACTTTCATTCCTTTTATTCTGCTTTCCTTTTATCATTTTCTTAATTACATTTGAATCTTATCGTATTATTGTTAAATTCAATTAGGGACGGCATTTTGTTTCTGGTTTCGTAGATTTTCCTCATTCTTTGAATATATGTTTTTCTTTTTAATTAAGTTAGCCATTGCCACGATGCCATAATTTTAATTCCTTCCAGAAAAAGTCTTCCTTTTTCTCTTTTAATTTACTACCCTTTCCCAACTATTTTTTTTTTCTTTTACGTTAATCTCTAGCTTTGGAATTAATTAGCCGGGATCTTTCTGAATTCCTCTGTTTCTCTGTTCCTTGATGCGGCGGTCCTACTCTATTGCCCCTGTCTCTCCCTCCGAGACTCTTCAGTTGACTGGGAGGCCTGGAAAGTGGAAGGACCCAAATAAAAAAGTCAACTTTGGAGCAGCCCTTCCTGGTTCTGTCCGTGCTTGGGAAGTCCCATCGCTTGCCGATTCTAAGCAGGCACCTCCGTCAGGTGACAACATTCTCAGAAAGCCTTAGCCAAGTGAAGTTGTTTTCAATTTCATGACTAATAATAATGATAACAATAATAATACCTCATCAGCCCACGTCAGTGAAAGAAAACCATTTCCTATAAAAATCAAAGTCTGTGCTGAGGCTGACTTTTCCAGCTTGCCATTGTTACTTGGTTTTCCTATTTGCTAATCTGTCATTAAACCCAGTTGGATGGTATCCAGGCTTTATTAACCAGAAAACACTATACTTTCTGAAGTGCTTATCAAAAAGTGCTTACCAAATTTCCTTCTGCCATATGATTGATCTAATGTCTTCTAATGTCAATGTGAAAGCATAAGAAATGATAGGTGTTTGCCTATGTTTTCTGTTTGATAAAAGTGTAACTCCTTACTAATGCTAAACAAATGGTATAGGCTGGCACACATTTGAAACACATTTCCACACTTAGGTATGTCAAGGAAGCCATCCTGTTGTAAACAGATAACTGTTTACAGTTATCTCAGGTAAAAATGCCAAATGACATAAGACTTAGAGTCCCCAATCATCTCAACATTCATGAATCTGATATTTTTGAATATTGTTCTGTGTTTTTCCTCTAAGGCCAAAGAACTCTATTGCTAATATCTTCTTTCATCATTCCCCATCCATACTTACCCAGGAGAGAACGTCTCAACTGTCAAGAGAACCCAAATCAAATATCCATTTGCTGATACATAAGGGCTTGTTACATGTGAGCTGCAAAGACTAGATCTGAAAGTGAAATACAACCTTTTGCTAGTTTTGATTGGCAGGTACAAAATAACACCCTTTAGGCATTAATCAGTGGAGGAGAGACTTTTCATGTACTTCAGAGCACAATCAGGTCATGGTTCTCACCAATTTGTTTCTCTAACTCTCTCCCACCGCCCTTCCTTGCCATTCTGGAATGATTCCAATTCTCATGTGAAAGGCTCACTTTTGTTTCTACTAAAAACACTTTTCTAAAATAGCATCAGGCCCACTTAAGTCCTTTAAATGGAGAGAAGATAAACCAAACTGTAATTCAAATATTGTTTGTGCTGTTTTAATCAGAGCGGCTAGAGGAAAACCACCCTGGATGTTTTTCCCGCCCCTGCCCCTCGTGCTCTAAGGCCCAACTCTGCTCTGTGCCCTTGGGCAAGCCATTTGACCTTTCTCCACCACAGTCTCCATTTGCAAAATGGTGATTACAATCTTCCGCAGCCATGTGTGGTGGCTAAATATGCAAAGCACCTTATGTTCCAGAAGGATTATGAGCTCATCTGTGGTCTGGGTATAGACGTACTGTGACGTGCACATGATCTACAGGCTGAGCATTCTGTTTCAAAGGTGACTGCATCTGTCTGGTGCCAAGGATGCAGCTAAGTGCAATTCTCTGTGCTAGACAGGGGTACAGAGGCCCTACAGTATTGGGGGTATTTCTTGGCAGAGGGAGTATTAATCTTCTGTGAGAAAGTGAACCTAAAATTGAACCTCATTGAAATTCTGACTAAATTTTGCAACCAAATGCAATTTATTGAAAGAGGAAAATCTCTGAAAAGCAAAGTTGATTTTGCAAATTCAATTATTTTAATGTGAATAATGTAAGATTATTATTTTGCCCATTAAAATAATATTTATAACATCTGTTTGAGTTCCCTAGGATACATTTGAATGGTGGGACATTCCTGTCTATTTCAATTAAACTATAAATAGCTCCATAAATATTTGACAACAAACTTATAGCAGCCTTATTCATTCATATTTTTGGTAAGATTGAATGGCTTTTATGGCAAAAATTCATCTGAGTAAAGTTTACGTGGGGTTTGCTGGAGTACTTACTACCAAATGGAGCAGAACTCTCCTAATTTCTTCCTTCATGATCATCTATTCATGGTTTTGCCTTTAAGCCAGGTCAGGACCAAGGCCAGGTATTTTATTATGGCTTACAATTAAAGGAAGGAATGTGGACTACCTGTATCTGTTGCAAACTATAACTGGGATTAGGGACCAAGGTAGTGAGGAATTCGTGTGTTTGTATGTGGTAGTGGGTGGTAATTGGTCCTTGACCTTGCCTAACTCCAAGGTCATGGCTATAACTTTCATGGCTTTACCTCTACGTGTTAACTTTTGTTAAACCACAAACACAAAACTGAGGTTACCAGTCTTCCAGTCTTCCAGAGGGCTTTTCTAATCATGTTTAACCTGCCAGTCTTCCCTCCTATCCATACAATAAATTACATAAAAGCTTGAAAAGCATTGTTCAAGAGGAATTGGGGGAAAGAGATTCCAAAACATTCTGGCAAAGTAAACAAATTGATGACCTCATTGAGTAATAAAGAAGATTCTAACTTTTTTGATGCATTCTATTAATTCTAAACTGAAAGAAAAATGTTCCTCTCTGGTTGCACATATCCACAAAAATCAAGTAGGTTGTAGATGTTTAATTATCCATGGAAACCTAGAGTACACTACATAAGGCAGACTTTCTGTGCTAGGTTTGATCTGTAAATGTTTTAAGTTTTTTCCTTTTTGGGAGGAAGTCATGATCATTTATCTACCTTGTAGTCATAGTCAGATGTGAAAAAAATAAACCCCAAAATATTTGTATTTCAGTTCTTTGTATCTATTTATCTACATGTGGAATGGTACCTGTTGGGGGTCTTTCCTTTCGCAAGAGGTGGAATGGGTTTGTGTTAGAGGGTGGGAAGGGAGTGGGTGGTGTCCATTCAGAAGAGTCCTTGGGAAGTAAGTATGGTGCTAATTGTAGCGGGTGAGGTCTGGTCTGAGAGAGGTTTGGAAGAAGCAGGGAGCTGCAATGGCATGTAGACTGCAGCTCCTTTTCTGGCTGTGCCCCAGGTGGCATGGTTTTCCATAGAGTCCTGGTCTCATTGTCTTCCCCCCACTCTCTTTTTCTGTGTCGGGTGCCTTTTTTTTGAGAAACTAACACAAGATCATTCATGCAATGTGTCATTTTACTAACCGACTAATGTACTAACACCCTAACGACTCATCTTTGTTTTTAGTTTTTTTAATTAACAATCGTTCTGTTCACAATTTTTAATTTCCTTTCTTCCCCCTTTTCCGCAAAGCACTCAGGCATCGGACACGCTATGGTAAACAAACTACATTGTCTGGTAGATATCATTCTTATTGTCTCTTTTTTTGGGTTTGCCGTGTGTTGCCCCCGTTTTCCTCTCCAACCCCCCCTTTTATCCTCTTTAGACTCATTTCTTCTTTTAAGATTTTTGTTCAATTAAATGCAAGCCTTTCTTTTCCTTAAAAAAAAAAAAAAATGGAAGGGGATGCACTTGTCCTAAAAATGATATTTGGTTGAATTTTGTGGGGAAGGTTTTCTTTTCTCTAGTTTTCAGTTTTTTCCCCCCCAAAAATGCTTTTCTTTCTTTTTTTTTTTTTTTTAAAGTATCTCCATTTGGCTAAATTTGTTTTGTTTTGTTTTCTTATTTTACAACTTCCAAGTTACATACTAGAGACAACAGAGATTTATAGTGAGAACTTTCTGCTTTCTGTGCCTTCCTCTCCCTCTTACTCTTCCTCTTTTCTTTTTTTCCTCCTTTCCCACTCCTTAGTCCCTTTTCTCTTTCCCTTTTATGTGGCCACGGCTGCCACAGGTGATCTGGGGAGGAAAGTACTCAACTTCCTAGACTCTTTCTTACCCTTCTTTTACCTTACTCCCCTACCGTGGCCAAAAGGATATCCACGAGTTTTGTTCTCCATACAAACTCTGCATGGCATGTTCCTGTCTCGTGAATTTTCCTACCTACATCAGAATTTGTTTCCTCATTTTCCTCCTCATTACTAACAACTTACCAACCATCAACCCAATTTCACTTTCTTCTCTTTTATTTTTCCCCACTCTTCATTCTCCTTTCATCTTTCATATATTCTGGGGTTGGGTTTGGACTTTTTCTTTTCTTTTCTTTTCTTTTATTTAGTAAGGGAGGTGGCAGGCAGAGAAAAGACTACCTTTTAGTTTTGAATGCTTTTTTTTTCACTTTCATCTTGTTCTTCAGTTTGTTCAATGCATGTAAGTGTGAAGTGGATTTTTATTCTTTCCCTAATTTCTCCCCACCCTTTCCCAGTTTTGTTTTTCTTCCGCCTTCTCTCTTGGTTCCAGATGATTTCTGCACGGGTGTATCGGTGTATGGTGTGTGCATGCTTTGAGGCCCCATCATTTCTCTCTGCCCTCTGCTCCTTTCATGGATGTTGGGTAAAAGGGTGCTATTTCTTTTCTGTGGGCATTATTATTTTTATTGTTTTGGTTATTATTCCTCATCATTCCTTTTGTTGTTGTTGTTAGAGTTGCCTTTTTGGTTTGGGTCATTTCTTCCCTTGGAGGTGGTGATGGGAGCCAAGGGAGGGTAGGGGTTGGTGTCCTGGGGCAGTCCATGGCATGTATCATCCATGACCATATCAGAATCAAGACCCTTCTCCTTCCCGCCCTGAATGCATGTTTGTCAGCGTGATGTGAGCCAAAATAAATATATTAATAACAATAAAGATAAAAGAAAAGAAAAAAGAAAAGAAAAGAAAAAAGGAAAAATAAAACCATCAACAACCAAAGACCAACCCCTAACAAACTTCATCATCAAATGTCTTCTTTGCTGTTTTTCACTACCACCATGAATAACAATCATGTAACAAATAAGCAATCATTTTAGCAATGAACTGAGACAAGTGATATCGTCTGAGGATGGTTCCATTTTCTAGCCTGACTGTATAAAGATTGCAATGGGTAGAACAAGGTGCCCGGCTTGGAAATTCTAACAAAGTCTTCCATGAGTCTGCAGGGAAATACTGAAGGCTTGAGACCCAGGGAGGCAGACCAGAAAATGGAACTTGGCTGCACATACCAAAATCAAATCAAATTAGAAAGTATACCTCATGAAAATCTTAATGAAAGTGATGCCACAAGTAGGGGAAGCCACTGGCTTATGTTAGGATTGTAAGGTCATTGTTGGGATTTTTTTTGTCCCTATGTCCCTCCACCAGGTGACAATCTCTGTGGATGGCATTCTTACCACGACGGGCTACACTCAAGAGGACTATACCATGCTGGGCTCGGACGACTTCTTCTACGTGGGAGGAAGCCCAAGTACTGCTGACTTGCCTGGCTCCCCTGTCAGCAACAACTTCATGGGCTGCCTTAAAGAGGTAAAGTTCACCCAACTCTATTTAATGCACCATGTGATTGTTTCATTTATAAACAAATGACATGTCTAAATCAATGACTGGATCTGTCCACAAATCTATGAAGTGATAGATTGCAGCACAAACGACCTTGGAATTGAAAGTAGGTATCCTACATTTTCATTCCCGCTTAAGCTGGTTGCATGACCTTGGGTTTGTCAATTTAGTACTGTGTTAGTCCGTTTTCACGCTGCTGATAAAGACATAACCAAGACTGGGTAATTTATTAAGAAAAGAGATTTAACTGATTCCCAGTTCCACATATCTGGGGAAACCTCACAATCATGGCAGAAAGCAAGGAGGAGCAAGTCACATCTTGCATGGTGGCAGGGAAGAAAAACTTGTGCAGAGAAACTCCTCTTTATGAAGCCATCAGATCTTATGAGACTTATTCACTATCATGAGAACAGCATGGGAAAGACCCGACCCCATGATTCAATTACCTCCCACTGGCTTCCTCCCACTGGCTCCCTCCCACAACAGATGGAAATTGTGGGAGCTACAATTCAAGGTGAAATTTGGGTGGGGACACAGCCAACCATATCAAATACCCTGTGGTTCTCTTTCCTCATCTAACAAATTGAGGCTCTTATCCCACAGATGGCTGTGCTTATAAATTAAATGCAATCACACAGGTGAAAGGCCATTGAAATCACAAGGAACTAGATGAGTGTAAAGTTTGATTTTTGTGAGTTTGACCTGGCAAATAGGAAAGCTCTAGCTAAAAGTAGCTCAATTTATTGTTGTGTGCCCTGTCTAAAATATAACATATGTATTATTTTACCTTCACTCAGCCTGGTGTTCCCAAGGGTCTCATTATTTGAGATGAAAGAAAATTCTTATAATGTAACATTAAGGCTCAGAAGACTGGTTTTTCCTTTTCTTCTTCTTCTTCTCTGAGAGCTAGTAGCTGTGAAAAAACAGTGGGACTTTGCCATTACTCATTTATTACCATTGTAGCTGATGTGTTGAGACCTCTGTCTGAGAGCAAAAAGAGCTTCAGCCAAGTGTAAGTGCAACCTCTAAGGTCAATTGTTGAGGCAAAAAGAATCAGATTTAATTTGGTAGAGCTCTTTCAGAACACTGTGGCATCAAAGTAGTGCACTGCACATTTTGTTTAAGCTAAGCTCGATTGCGTAAGTTATCTATACCATCTCCCTCGGGACGTTTCTTGAGAAGCAAACAGTGTTCCTTCTTGTAGATAACAATCCCTTGTGACATCTTATGAGTCTCCTCTCAGGGCATATGTTTTATTCTCATTACGGTTATTTGAAATTTATTGAGCATCATTTGTATATGAGATGGCACTGTCCATGCGTTCATTCATGCCACTGCCCTGTGAGCCTTGTCCAGGCAGAAATTGTGTCTGTTAGGCATGGCACATAGTAGATGCATAATAAGAATTTGTTTGTCCATTTATCTAATAATCATTGGGTACCTTTTCTTGTGCCGTAACTAAACTTGGTGGCTCTTTTTAAGCCATGATCTGCATGCTCCAAGGCTTTGTCTTGTAGGAAGGGAGATGAGATCAGTGAGTGAATAAGTATAGCATAGGAGAGCAAGTGTTCAGTACCATAGACTAAATGCTGTAATTGAATAGAGGAAACATAAATTTTAGGTGGAAGTCAGTTTTAGAGAAAGAGTGACATTTGAGGCAGGCCTTGTTGTAGAAAATCATGTACAAATTGAGAGGAAGGGGTAGAAAAGAGAGACAATAAAGGAGGGAAAATCCAATTATAGCTTTGTATTGTTCTCAGCCTGTAGAATGAAATAAGAGGAGCACCCAAAGAGTGCTATTATCTCTCTGCAGGATGTTACCTAGGCTTCTGCTGGCTTCAGAGATTTCATCGTCATTTCTGATGGAATTATGGTAGGCATAGAGCCCTTCCTCCCTGGGATTTACTCCTATTTGGATAGAATAAAGGTATAGACTATGCACTGTCTAATGAACCCTGAAAGACTCTTAAACATTGTGAAATCACACTACATTGGAACTGCATTCTCATCAGAAAAAGACTGCAACATTCTTGTTACCAAGGACACGGCTCAGGAATGAATGAGGCATTGGTTGCTGTGGAGTGCTCATTCAGTTTTGTAGTGCAATGGTCCTGAGCATGAAGTTTCTCCAGGACAGGATTTAGGTCTGGCCTTTAGGATTAATTTTCTCCTATACACAATTGTATTGAGCTACCTCTCTATTATATACTTAGAGACAAAGGAACAATTTCCCAACCACGAATCTTCTATCTATTAATCAGGAAGGAACATTTTGAAATAAGTCTCATAAAAACACAAAGATGTCTCTGATGACTTTATCCATGTGGAAACTAAAGAAAATAAAATACACACACACACACATACGCAGACACACGCAAACACAGACAGACAGACACACCACACACACACACACACACACACACACACACATATTTTTGCTGTCCAGAGAACAGAAAGCTTCAAAAGTCTGTCAGAAGTATTACTGAATAGCTTAAAAGTTAAAGGCAGTTCTGAAAAACAGTGTCGATAATAGAAATAACTATAATCAGTGATAACAATATATCCTTATCTTAGCTTGCAGCACAAATATGCATTTAAATTCAGACCAAGTTAGAAAAAGGAAAGTTCGAAACACTAACGGAAATGATAGGCAAAGCTAGAACTTGATAAACTCCTGCCCCATCTGTTTTCCCTGTACAGCGTGATAGTCTTTCTAAGGCACTCGGAAGGCTTGTTATTTGTCTGAGTACCTTGAACAGATCACTTTGAGTCTAACGTAGTGCTAATATGTTATTTCTTTGCGTTTAATAATTACACTTCACTTTTCTGTGGGCAGGTCTATGGAGCTACTTCTCTTGTTCTTGGTATTTGTTTTTGATAAATCAGTTAACATCAAAGGCTTCCAGATATGTTAAGATTCAACTACCTGATAAACCCCACTCACCCACTGAAACCATAGAACAGTCTCTAATTATTTCACACTCCCTTCTTCCCCTTCATTTTCCTCTTGCTGCCTTAAAAAAATCTTCTCTCGCCATTTGTGGCTTTAAGTTGTCCTAAATGAAACTAAGTGATTTTATGTGTAATTTTCTTCAAATTAGGGACATGGCGAAGGGCCTATGCAATTTCTGCTCCAGATCATCAATATTGCTTTGTGTGGCACAAAACAGGTTTTGTTGTTGGGACTGTAATTACTTCACACCTAAAAACTAAGTTCTGGCTCCATGATTGTGCCAAAGGGACTGGATATTACTCATGTGCGTACTTCCTAACCTCATACCCATGTGAAAGCCACAACAAAGCATCCACATTGTCATCAAACTATGATAGTTCTCTGCACACGTTGGTTATCAATATAAGATTTGTGTCCACTTAAATATCACGAAGTCAGCATCTTGTTCCTTTTCATGTTTTAGTGTGTCTGTCTCATGTTTGTTCTTATTGTGTCCCCAGCTCCTAGAATGGTTCTTGGCACTTGGTGGCTCTCAGTCAATATTTGCTGAGTGAAATCACATGATTGTACATTAATAAATACCTTTCCTAAATGAATGCTCTTAGGTACTATTGACCACTTGACTTACCTGGGATGATCAAAGAACATCTTGACATGGCAGTGGGTGAATCTTTCAAGAATCTTCTCTCCCTCCTCCTGAGCTATCAGATATGAGAAAAAGATTATATTGAAAGCCTCAGCAAGGCTAAGAGGAATGATTGGAAGTTCCTCTATGAAAAATGGGATAGAAAAGGCTGTGAGGGAGGCATCAAAGTATAATGAAAAGAATACTGGGCTTCAAATCAGAAAATCTGCTTAGGAATGTTAGCTTTATCACTGGCTATATAATAAGGTCACTGATCTTACTCCAGTCTCAGTTTTCTAACCCATAACAAGGAGATAATAAAACTTCTTTTGCATTCTTAAGAAAAAAAATGAAATGATGTACATAAAAGTGAAACCATACAGCATTACAAAATACAATGTTTTTGCTTATAATAATTGTTAAGGATTATATATTGCATTGTATAAAATAGTTTATAAATAGAAATATAAGTGTAAGTGAATATCCATTAGCACATGGAATCTCTATATTTCTCATATTAGCAAGTCATTGTTAGGAAAAAAAACCCATTATTCTGAGGTTTGCCCTACATAAATTCTCTCGTAATGCAAAAATAGGGATAACTCATCCTGCCTGCCCTCAATGATTACTTTGTTTTTTGCCTTTGGCCATTTATTTAACACTATGTTTTCCTTTATTAAAATGTGAATTCCATGAGAACAGAGGTCTTATTTGCTTATAAATGTTTCCCCAGCACCTAGAATGGACCTTGACATTAAAAAAATGCACTCAATAAGTATGTCTGGAATAAATAAATAAATGAATGGAGCTCTGAAATCTGGTGGAGTTTAAATGAACAATGTATAAGTCCAGACTGCTATTAAAAAGTATCATAGGCTGAATGGCTTATAAACAACAGAAATTTATTTCTCACTGTTCTAGAGGCTGGAAGTCCAAGAACAGAATGCCAGCCTGATCAGGCTCTGGTGAGGGCCCTCTTCTAGTTTGCAAACTGCTGTTTTCTTATTGTGTTCTCACACGGAAAAAAAGAGGATAAGAGTTCTTTAGGGTCCCTTTTATAAGGGCACCAATCCCACTCATGAGGGACCTTCATGACCTTCATGACCACCTCCTGGAGGCCCCACCTCCTAAAACTGTCACATTGTGGGTTAGGATTTCAACATATGAACTTTGGAGAACACAAACATTCAGTGCATAGCAAACAATATATCCCCCAAACCTATAATATGCCAAGGGCTGTGCTAAAATATAAATATGAGTCAAACATGGTTCCTGCTTTAGAAGAACTCACATTAGTGGGGAGAGGCAGACACACACATAATTGCAATAAATAGCGGTTAATGCATAACATGAGACATTCTTAGTTACAATGTGGCTGCTGAGGAGAAG